AGAAAATAAAAATAAAATCAAAGAAATATTTTATATTGCAAGCATTCTTACTTATTTAAATATCTTTTATGAGAAGTTAAAATGCATTTTTTTAACTGCACATTAACAGAAAATTGAGCGATTTAGTAAAATCTTTGGAAAATAGCAATAATCTTGATTACTTTCCCTAAAACCTTCACAATGAGCTCTCTTAACAGAATGTTAAATGAAGACTTCACCCTTAGGATTTATGCAAAACGCTTCATCAATTTGCTGAGGATGTGTAAATAATTTTCCATTCTGACAACACACATGAGCACAGAGATCCTTAAACTATACTTAAGCTGACCCCGAGATGATTGAATATTCTAAGCAATTTGATACAAGGTTCAAACTTATGTACATCTCACATCCCTCTGATCCCAGGCCATCGCCCTGTCCATTCATCATTTTCAACAGGGGAAACTTGAAGTATTTCCACAAGTATTTTGATATGTGTCTATATCATTGTCTCAGCCTTTGTCCCTGTCCTGTCCTGTCCTGTCCAGTGTGGTGTCGTCGATGGACTTCCATTGGGCGTGTCGAGAATTTTCAACTCTCTTTGCCCGGGACACAGGCTCTTAAAACGGTCATAAAGCAAATTGTGAAAAATTATTGTGTGTATAAAATTTAATGACATGTCAAAAAGGATATCCGGCATACGTTCCACCAGCTCCTCCGCTCCTTTGCTGTCTGTTGCTTCTCCTCCTGCTGCTGCTGCTGCTGCTGTTGATGTTGTCTTTGCTGGTTGTCCTGTGTCCTGGTTCTGTTGCTGTTCGTTGACGAGCTAGCCGAGGTCCTGTGGCCATCACAGATGCTCGTGGGCGGACGTGTAATGTCCTGTAAGTCCTGACAATTTTAGTCTAGTTGCCGGCGTATTTGTATTTACTTCTTTGTGTCCGAGACCAAGACCAACACATAATCAAGCGCAACTTTATTATTTTGCCGGGGTTATTTTTATGTCCAGCTCAGCCAGGGACTCAGTCCACTCGTATATATGTATATATAACCATATAGAGCTGTGGAGCTGTCTGCTATGCGGTCTTTACGCCCGTCATCATTATGCTCTCTCTCTCGCCTTGGCCTGTCCGCTATTTGCCATTTGCCGACGCCATGTTCCGGGGGCTGCACATTTTATAGTTTTCAAAAGTCACAAAAATGTCAATTGCTTGTCTTGTCCTCTTGTCCTCCCCCAACGCCATTGCCATTGCCATCGCCTTCGCCCCCGAAATGGCATTGAATAAATTATATTGTGGTCATAAAGTTGCTGCACCATGTTTACCACACAGATACTCGTAGATATAGCCATGCCAATGTTCATGTTCATGTTATTGCACTGGCAAAAAATATATCTCCTTTGTTTTTATACCCTTGCAGGTATTATAATTTCAGTCAGAAGTTTGCAACGCAGTGAAGAGGCACCTCCGACTATATAAAGTATATATATTCTTGATCAGGATCAACAGCCGAGTCGATCTAGCCATGTCCGTCTGTCCGTCTGTCCGTCTGTCCGTCTGTCCTTCTGTCCGTCTGTCCGTCTGTCCGTCTGTCCGTTTCTACGCAAACTAGTCTCTCAGTTTTGAAGCTATCTGAATGAAACTTTGTAGTTAGCCTTCTATTTACTCTCACTCGTATATATGTCGGAACGGGCCGGATCGGACGACTATATCATATAGCTGCCATAGGAATGATCGTAAAATTTTACAACAAAATTTTTAACTTTTTCAGTTTTCAATAGAATTGGATCAAATTTAAGATATAGCCATTTTACTATACTCTACAATTTTGTGTAAATTTTATGAAAATCGGACTAATATATCATATAGCTCCATAGGAACGATCGAGAAATTAATACAATTAAATTTATAACTTTTTCAGTTTTAAGCTGATTTTCATCAAATTTAAGGTATAGCTATTTATTATAGTCTTAAATTTTGTGTCAAATTTTATGAAAATCGGACGACTATATCTTATAGGTGCCATACAAACGATCGTTTGATGTAGAAGAAAATACAAGTCTGTGTATGTAAAACTGCAAATATAATATGTATAGGTGAATGAAATGAAAGCAGCTATTACTTCATTGTTTTTAACACAAATATATATAATTATATTGTATGGATTCCTATTCATAGAAGTTCTATCTGCAAGGGTATATAAACTTCGGCGTGCCGAAGTTAGCTTTCTTTCTTGTTTATATAAATATAACTGAACAAAGGGGTTTTTAATTAAAACAAGACTTATGGTTCCATTAAATCAGGAAATACGTTGGTTTGTAGTAGAGATAATTATTCAATCAGAACAATTATTCGGTTTCGATTTCGATGATTATTTTAAACAAGATATATTAAACCTTTAATTTCAGAAATCCATGTCGATTTGAATTTATTTTTTAAGGGATTTTAAGCCCAAAAACAATTTCTGTGGCACTCCTTCAAGTCTTTAAAATAGGAAATGCCTTATAAGGAATCTATAAGTAGGATTTATAGTGTAAAACATAGCTTTCGATTCTATATCAAATTTACTTATATCCACACTTATAGTACCCCCTTTTTCTTCTGTGCATCTGATGTCATAATGCTCGAGCTGGTCACATCTTATCCTGTCCCAGGATCGTTCTATTTGCATGTGACCAAAAAAAATAAAACAAGGAGCTAAGCTAATCAGCGACCGGAATTGATTTTGTCCTCAAACTGTTGTTGTTGGATCAACAAATTACACCCACTACCAATAATGAGAGGCCATTAAGTGATAAATTATGGGCGAGAGCATGTGACTGAGGACTTTTTGAATTTTAATCAAGCTAAAATTCGAGGCACTTGCCATCGGGTCAGGGTCGAGAGTCATAATTTCACTTTCATTACTCTGGCAGAGCTCCTTGGAATGTCCTGTTAATGTGCCATGCTCGAGTGGAGCATAAATCTATTTATGCGGCTTTCCGCACCCCCATCCTGTTCGCGGCTTGAGTCCTTGGTAATTGAAAATATTTGAAATAATTCATAAAATTTTTATGTGATTTTTCCCCCCAAAAAATGAACTGGGAAAAACGAGAAACGAAATGATAGTTCAGCTTGGTGGTGGTTCTCAAGTTATCAGATCGTATAATTTAGCGCAGATAATTGTTTTAATGATGTCATAATTTCGGCTTGATGGCGTGCTCACAAAATGGCTCCAACTGATTTATGCTGCCCACTCCCTGAGGGGTCCAACTTCAGCTTCAGCTCCAGCTCTTGCCCTCCAGAGTGGAGGCGTCAGCCCGGGGCTTGTGCACTTGTAGATACCGTGTAGATAGTGGCATACGTAACCAGTTTGCCGCTCGACAAAAGAGTAAATAACGGCATTGTATGATTTATGTGGCCAAAACAATGCGCAACAAATCGGACCACACTTGGAGAAATTTCAATTACCTTGTTATTGAAACTATAAGAGAGGGTTTTAGAAAATAACTCCATTATATATATATATTATGAGACTAACTATTCCATATTGAAATTAATATTTACCTCACATTTGTGCTAAGAAATCTTAATGATTGGTTATCCGAAACAAGTTTTATAATTAAAATCCTAAATAAATATTTGTATAGTGCATGAAATCAGTAAAGTACCTGCCCTGGGGCACAATGAGAGCCAGGCCACCTGAGTGCCTCCCCCAATCGCTATAACGAAACGGACGGACTGTCCCTGCTCCACATCCACAGCTGGCAGGGCAAGATTGTGTGGGCGCTAACCACTTGAAAACGTTAAATAAGTTGTCTAACCACACATTAAACCAATTTGGCACTGCGCTGGCCGCCTGTCTGGCACCTTGGATTGGGCCAGGACCTCCTCCTTCTCCTCGGCAACACTCCACTCCTTTTTGGACCCGCCCACTCGACGAGGTCCCTGGCTGCCATAAATCATAGGGCGACCCACGTATGTGACTACTTGGGCTAGGGGATCGATAAATTATTATTAGTTGGTCTGTCCAACCGTCCTTTTGGTCCCTTCTGCCCCTCGTCTCCTGGCCCACCTCTACTCCTCCTCGTTTGGAGGCGCGTGCAAAGGAAGTTGTTAGATCCCCGAAAGGAGCGCTGACCGAAATCCTTGGCTCGCTGCGGTTCAAATGCCTTTTAACTTAACAACTTTTTTTTTGTTCCTGCTGCTGCTGCTGCTGCCAACACCAAACAACTTCCCACACCTCGGATTTGAACACACACTCTCACAAATCAATGGGTGACTTTGCTCCTGGCGGGTGGCAGCACTGAGGGAAAATCTCAAATAAATTGAAATATTTTATAGTTATTTTGTAGTTATAACTTAATATGTAACTTTTGTTTAAGGGGAAAAACTATTGAATTGATGATTGATAATGTGTCTTTAAACACATTTATCAAGATATATTCCTATAATTCCTATAATTTCTTGCAGTGCTTGGATAAACGGGGTGGTCTAGGACATGGCAGGCCAGGGCAAACCCTTAACGTTGTGTGTAAAGTGGACTTGACATGAGATTAACATCTTCAAAAGCATAGCTTAAAGTATTTGTTAGAGTTCGCCGAAGTTGCGACCGGCTGCGAACAAGGTGCCAGGACCTGGGACCCGGTTCCCGGCCCAGGACAGGACCCGGGTCGAGTCCCGGCCAGCCCGCTGACCCTTGCCCCACGTCCACCTCGTTTTTGGATAATTGCGTTCTTGTGCGCTGAGCCATGAGCTTAACTGTTGCTGTCATAACTAAGCGAAAAGGTACACAATTTATGGAATCGAGTCCGGCTCCCACTCCAATCCCAACAGGTGCGTGGCCGGCCGGGTCGGATATACATAAATACAGCCAGTTTATATGGTATAACAATTTTTGTTGGATTTATTCGTTGATTTCAATCGTTAAATAATAGCAAAACTTACGTCCTAATAGTGGTTGGTGGGGTGAGAGCGTTCTTCTTGTCGTGAACGAGCGTTCAGGTACAGGTGCGGGGCATAGGCCCCAAGATTCCAGATTCTGACCTACAGTGCGCGGCGGTGGCGCTGTTTCAGACGGCGCACAGTCTTGTACTTGTAGCCTTCGTCGCCGAGAACGGCGGAGTCCTGGGCCACTTCCTCGACGGGCTCATCAGCGACCACCTCCTCGGTGGGCGGCAGGTACTCGCTGGCCAGCTCGGACACATCACGACGCTGGCGGTACTTCAGACGACGCACAGTCTTGTACTGGTAGCCATCGGCGGCAAGAACGGCAGAGTCCTGGCTGGCTTCCTCAACGGGTGCCTCAACCAAAGCAGCCTCGGTGGCAACCTCCTCAGAAGGGGGCAGGTATTCGTTGGCGATCTCGGACACATCACGACGCTGGCGGTACTTCAGACGACGCACAGTCTTGTACTGGTAGCCATCGGCGGCAAGAACGGCAGAGTCCTGGCTGGCTTCCTCAACGGGTGCCTCAACCAAAGCAGCCTCGGTGGCTACCTCCTCAGAAGGGGGCAGGTATTCGTTGGCGATCTCGGACACATCACGACGCTGGCGGTACTTCAGACGACGCACAGTCTTGTACTGGTATCCATCGGCGGCAAGAACAGCAGAGTCCTGGCTGGCTTCCTCAACGGGTGCCTCAACCAAAGCAGCCTCGGTGGCACCTCCTCAGAAGGGGGCAGGTATTCGTTGGCGATCTCGGACACATCACGACGCTGGCGGTACTTCAGACGACGCACAGTCTTGTACTGGTATCCATCGCGGCAAGAACAGCAGAGTCCTGGCTGGCTTCCTCAACGGGTGCCTCAACCAAAGCAGCCTCGGTGGCACCTCCTCAGAGGGGGCAGGTATTCGTTGGCGATCTCGGACACATCACGACGCTGGCGGTACTTCAGACGACGCACAGTCTTGTACTGGTATCCATCGGCGGCAAGAACGGCAGAGTCCTGGCTGGCTTCCTCAACGGGTGCCTCAACCAAAGCAGCCTCGGTGGCTCCTCCTCAGAGGGGGCAGGTATTCGTTGGCGATCTCGGACACATCACGACGCTGGCGGTACTTCAGACGACGCACAGTCTTGTACTGGTATCCATCAGCGGCAAGAACAGCAGAGTCCTGGCTGGCTTCCTCAACGGGTGCCTCAACCAAAGCAGCCTCGGTGGCAACCTCCTCAGAAGGGGGCAGGTATTCGTTGGCGACCTCGGACACATCACGACGCTGGCGGTACTTCAGACGACGCACAGTCTTGTACTGGTATCCATCAGCGGCAAGAACAGCAGAGTCCTGGCTGGCTTCCTCAACGGGTGCCTCAACCAAAGCAGCCTCGGTGGCAACCTCCTCAGAAGGGGGCAGGTATTCGTTTGCGATCTCGGACACATCACGGCGCTGTCGGTACTTCAGACGACGCACAGTCTTGTACTGGTATCCATCAGCGGCAAGAACAGCAGAATCCTGGCTGGCTTCCTCAACGGGTGCCTCAACCAAAGCAGCCTCGGTGGCTACCTCCTCAGAGGGGGCAGGTATTCGTTTGCGATCTCGGACACATCACGGCGCTGGCGGTACTTCAGACGACGCACGGTCTTGTACTGGTATCCATCGGCGGCAAGAACGGTAGAGTCTTGAGAAGCTTCCTCCACTGGTGCCCCTCGACGGCGGCATCGGCAACAACCTCCTCATTAGGGGGCAGGTACTCGTTGGCAATTTCAGAAACGTCGCGGCGATGTCGCAGCTTAAGGCGGCGCACGGTCTTGTAGCGGTATCCATCATCTCCCACAGCTGCGGAGTCTTGGGCCAGCTCCCCAAGCGGGGCGGCGGCGCCAACTTCCTCCGATGGCGGGATGTACTCGTTCTCGATCTCGGAGACGTCACGACGGTGCCTGGCTTGTTCGACGGGAAGCACTGCAGCCGTCGCGGCGGCAATGAAGATGCATGCTATAAACAATTTCTACAATGGGTATGGGAAAAAGCGGTTAGAAGGAGTAGTCCTGGTGGAGGAGGCCGTCCTGGCCCTGCTTTGGATATTCACCATGTTGGTATAGATCTCCAAGCTAATTGCTTTGACGGTGGAATCTATGGGTCGAATGATTAATCGTCGCAATTTGTCGGAATATTTATACGCTCTAATGTTTGCCAGCCTCAGTCCAAACAATGGACAGCTGACTCTGTTTGCCGGCAAACAGCAGCGGAAACCGAAATCGAAACCAATTCCGATACCGAATTGGTAACAAAAGCAATGAACCCGGCCAAAGCCCAAACATGCGCCACTCGAGCCCTCAAGTGCCCCCGTCTCCCTCATCGGCGCACAACTGCGTCTTCTCGCAGAGATTAAGACGAAATGGAAGCCGGTTTGAAACACAGGGCACAGTGGGAATGTTGGCTAAATAATCATGGAAAAGGGGTACATCTTATGTGACTATTTGGGTGTTTCCAGCCTCTGGTACTTAGTTTTTTAAGAAGCTATATTAATCTTATGTCTACAAAATAAATAGAATTTCCTTAAAAATAAGGGGGCACCCGGATTTGAACCAGGGACCTCTCGATCTGCAGTCGAATGCTCTACCCCTGAGCTATGCCCCCAGCTGGAATGCTTAGTTAAATAACCAAATTTTAAGTATGTTCGGAAAGAGTCCGAACAGGAACATAAATTAGCAAAGATTTGGATACTATGCTTACATCAAAGGGAAATAAGTAATATTAGGGTCAGGAATCTTTAGTTGCCTTCTGAATAAAGTATTCCTATATCACAGGAATAAGGGGATATTTAGATTTTTAATTCTAAATATTATTAGCAATTTAATATCCAAAGTTGGTATTACTTACCCCACGGTGCACAGGTGGAATAGTCTGAAGATTGCTGTACAGTGCGGAACTAAAATGTTCGGTGATTCGCTTTCGCTGTCGTTCGCCGCTTGCCGCTTTGATTCCATTCGATTCGATCGCTATGGCGTAGCGTCAGCTGTGGCTTCACGGTCAAGAGCGAGCAGCGGGCCCTCTTAACAAGATCTAATGCAAAAACACAATGGTCATTCAAATGCTTTATGACAGCGTATACGTTGTGGGGTTTGCGCTTACTCACCTCATACGGCATTTATTTATTAATAGTTTCTTTGAGCGTTAATTTCTCAAGTGGCTATCGGTAATTTGCGTACTACACTCGCTTGGAGCTCGGAGTTGGGGAGTTCAACGAACCGCTCAAGATTGATGGCCTGCAAAAGGTCGCACGGGCAGCACGATCGTATTTGTTTAATGGGATTTGCTAATAAGCGTTGGTTATTTTGTTTAATTTAATTTGAGTCGCCATTCTTATTGTTGTCCAAATGGGAAAAGCGTGGGTGACGATGACGATTATCAATATCGATCATGTGGCGCTATCGATAGCGAATAGGGTTCAGTATTGCACGAGCACGTGCCATATCGATATTTTCAAGGACCCCGAGGTCGCTGAAAAAAAGCTGTTTTCAGCTGCCAATATTTTCAGTTATTCATTTGCATTCGACAAACCGTGAATATTTTAATGCAGACGAAGGATTACAACATTTTAGTTGATTTATTTTTAGTATATATTTTAGTATATAACTCAACACAGTTCTTCTACCTTGTCATCTCTAACAGTGCGATCCCTATCGATAGGTCGATTAAGGATGCCCTATCGGAAAATTTCTGCAATTTCAGCCATTTGCTAAAAAATAATGTGTAAAATGTTTTCTGTGTGGTGTACTGTAAACCATAGCCCGTATCCCGTTAACTGCTCCATGTGGCCAGGATATCAAAGATCCTGCCGAAAATATGCTGCACGCAGGACGTAACGAGCCAAGAAAACAACGGAGGAGCAAAGGAGCTTACAAGTTGGGAGCATGTTATGCTCTGGCGAAAAACTTTGGCTATGAAAATCATAAACTTGGCAAAACAAGCTTCGCGGGAAGACGACGCCGACGAGCAGGAGAAGGAGCCACCAGGAGGAGCTGGAGCACACGCTGGTAACGGAGTTGGCGGCGAAAAGTTTTCACAAATCATGCATATGATGTCGGAGGTACTTTCACTTTTGGCGCTCCCGAGGGCCTTACGAGCATATTCCTCGCCATCCCGTCCGCCTTCCGTTCGCCCGCTCCTTTCCGCGGCCTTGGACTAATTAAAGAGACAAAACTGCGTAAGTTTTTTCGGTTTTTTTTCAAGAGTCATTGTCTCGAGTCTTGGCCTGGCCCAAAATGTGTGTCAAGTGGCAAGCAAAAGCGAGTGCAAAACAAAGCAAATGGGGTGTGCAATCTGCTGTAAACAACCATAAATTTTGCCAGTTTCGGCTCGAGTTGCTAGGGGAACTATCGCCCTCATAAAGGGGCCCACCATATCCAAGTATCAAAATGTGCGTGCGTGTGTGTGTCTGTGGTGTGTGCAGCACTCCCTATCGGATCCCCGGGCAGCCGCGTCCTTATCGCAATCACTCACATCGCCACTTGTGAAATCATGGCCGGCCACCATTGGAGAGTACAGAGGAGCTTCTATAGCATGGTTTATTTGTCTGTCGACAATTAGAGTTACTTCTAAGGCTTCAGATCTTCTATATACCATTTTAGCATGTGGTTAAATATGCTTTTGGTTAGGTTCCATACAAATCTTATGGATAAGAATCCTTTTCTCTAGCTAAAATCCCAACATAAGTCCAAAAACAGACAGATGGCAGTGCAAGTCGATAGGATCTTTACTGTATTATAATTTTTTGAGGTTTTGGTTTCGAACCGAAAAGTATGTAGCGAAGCATGAACATCCTATGACACATTATAATATGTATAAACGATGTTTCATGACAATCAATTTGTTTCAATTCAATAGGCACACCCGCTAGGCAGACACACACACATGAGTGTGTCCGTGTTGTGCTCTCATTTATGTGATTATTTGATTTGTGTGTTGAAGTTGATACTCGGGGCACAGAGAAAGAACAGATTCGGAGCCAGAATATAACGAATTTTATGAACTAGAAAGTATCATTAATTTAATACGCATTCGCATACGCAAACAAGCCGATGATATGATGCTTCGGTTCGATGATGATGATGATGGGAAACCGGGGTATGTGGCCGCTATAGGATATGGCCGTTAGTTATGCTCTTCTGATCATTGTAATGTAAATACGTAGCGACCCCGGCCGCGTGCAATCATAAATAAACATTCGACACAAACACAATAAATGTCAAAAAGTTTCGCCATTATCCGCTCGCCAGTTAATGTCCTTGTCGCTGTTGTCAGCGTCGTCGTCATCGCGTCGTTGTCGTCTTGAAAGCGAGCAGCGCTTTATTATTTTAATGATTTCGCAGTGCCCCCTCTCCATCCTGTCAGCGCTCCTCCAGTCGTGTCCTGTCCTCTGGCCTCCTTCAGTCCCCTGTTCCCTGGATCCCGCGTTGTCCACTTCTCTCCTGTGGCATTGTGTTTACATTTGTAATTCAATTCGCGACCGCTCCTCCTTCCCAAAAAGCGCTCTCCATCGCACATCGCCATCTCCATCTCCGTCCGCTTGTTATTATTTTACATGTCGTTCGCTGCTGGTTCACTATAATTTATTAGCAATTTGCATAATTTTCTTTTATAAAGCATTGCCACTGTTCTCCGTGCTGCTGCCTGTCGCCAACTCTTTTTGGCCCAGTGTTATGCAAATGTTCCCCGGCCGTAATACCCATGGGTTCTCCTCTCCGTGCTCCACTTGGTTTACGGTTATGCACGATCGTTATCAATGGGTATTTTGTTTGCCCCGATTATTGTCTGAATTCATCTCACAATTTGCATTCACAGCTGCCAAGCTGGTGAACTTCACTGCCAAGGCAAGGCCTCGGATCTCTGGGTTAAGTATTAACTGTTTAGTGGACTTGAAGCAGCTGCTCTTGTCGATTCTATTTATTGGTTAAATATACGTGAAGGGAACTATAATATTGAAATCCAAGAAAGGAAACAACTTTGGGGTGCCAAGGGTTTTATATACCCTTGCAGATTGCAATTGAATTAAAGGACCAAATCGGAAATGGATCATAGCTAAGCTTAAAATACTTGCATTCTTTAAATAGATATTTATTGGTATTTTATATTACAATTTTTTCTATAAATCTAAGTTTCAAAAACGCATAACTAAGCCAAATATGCATATATTTTAATTCGGAAAGCTTTCTACTAGCTTTTACTATGTTAATAAATCTGCATACTCCATTTAAAATGTAAAAAAAAATTAATTTTTTCCCTCATTTTTCGACAATTTTATCTCTTTTAAAATTTCGAAAAAAATTAAAAAAATTAGTTTTTACCGGACATGGCTAGAACGATTCAGCTGTTAATGCTGATCAAGAATATATATGATTTATGAGGTCGGAAATAATTTCTTCATAGTGAAATAGGCTTCTGGCTAAAATTAGAATACCATTATGTTAGTTGATATTTATCTATATTTTTAAATGACAATTTTTCCGACAAATCAGAGTTTAAAAAACGCATAACTAAGCCAAAAATTGATTAATTTCAATTCGGAAAGCAGGTCTGTGCTAGTTTTTTAAGAGAAATCAAATCTGCATACTCAGTTTATAAAGTTAAAAATTTCAATTTTTTTGTCAATTTTTTACAATTTTTAAGATGTAAACCCTTAAAAAATGTTGAAAAATTTTCAAAAATGTATTTTTACCGGACATGGCTAGAACGATTAAGCTTTTGATGCTGATCAAGAATATATGTGGTTTGTAGGGTCGGAAATGATTCCTTCACTGATTTGCATCCTACTGCCTAAAATTACAATACCCCCAATGGTATATATTAAAGAGTAATTTTTGTTTAAAGAAAATGACACATAAGATATTTTAAGAGATACATTTACAAAACTTCAAAACCCGAGACAGGTTTCGTGAAAGGATCCTGAATCTATCCTTCGTCGCCACCTAATTGTTTTTATTGGTCTAATGAAAATTGGTTAATTTGCAGCATCGTGTCTTGGGAGGGAAAAACAAAACAAGAGCAAGCAATGAACAAAAGTATCTTTATTATCTCTTAGTGCTGCGAGAATTGTTTTTATTTTTCCTGCTTTGTTTTCCTCCTTTT